GTGGGGTGGGGTGGTGTGGGGTGGGGTGGGGCATGTGTTAACGTTCATGTGAACTTGCTAGGTAAGTGGACTCGTCTCTGTGTGTGCCGTTATGTGCGTGTAGACATGGGTGGGGTGGGGTGGGGTGGGGCATGTGTTAACGTTCATGTGAACTTGCTAGGACAGTGGACTCGTCTCTGTGTGTGCCGTTATGTGCGTGTAGACATGGGTGGGGTGGGGTGGGGTGGGGCATGTGTTAACGTTCATCAATACATAACATGTGGAATTACAAAAAATGCGTTTTCGCCTAGGCGAAATACTTGTTTTTTCATTTCCTGCACCAGAATAAGGGGGTTTCTTGTCTTTGAACTCACATCAAAACAATCCAGGTCGAATTAGTTGGGGAGTTCTGAGAAACATCAAAAATGATAGTTTCGCCTAGGCGAAACGCTAGATTTTGATTTTATGCACCAGAATCACGGGTTTTTCGCCTTTGAAATCACATCAACCAAAATCCTATTGGCACGACCACATCAAACATCATCCATGACACCCCGTTGATCACAAAAACACCACGGCCAGATAAAGGCCGTGTTCCTAGTTATATCTCAACGTTGGATCACTGAAACCCTCATTTTTGGCGGAAGATATATGTTGATTCCGCCATTTGTTTGTTGGTTTCACCCCAAGTGTTGCAGCTTGCACCTATGTTTCACGCCGGAAATCCTGCCAGGGGAAGGTTTGCACAAGCGAGAAGCCAAAGAAGGAGGCGAATCGAAGATCCGATGCCACTGGAATCTTCATGGAGAAAAGCTTAGTGCCGAAAATTGTTGTTTAAATATGATGCAGAAAATTATGCTAAGCCAGTCAAAGCCATGAGGTTTGGGGGAACCTGAAATGATGATTGGTCAATGGTTCAGCCATTTTACGATCGAGGAGTGTTAAGTTCTTTTGCTGTTTGAATAGTGGTATTGGCATCAAAGTTTTGCCCTGATACGCTGGGTCTAACCTCCCAAATGTCCCACCACGAATGATGAAAGCACAAGTCTGGTACCTGCTACTACCAATCACTATTTGTATATAATTAATAATTATTATATGTATATTGTATGTATATAATGTGATTAGATTAGATACAATATCATATGATAATATGTTCTCTATCCTCAAGGACCATGGAAGACACCCCACAGGGATAATTCAGACTGTCCTTGAAACTTGGATTTTTTAGTACCTGCACGACCTTTCACATCACTGGGTAGTTGTTGCAACACCAACGAGCGTCGTTTTCGGGTCTACTATTTCGAATCGTGGTACGTACCCTGATATTTGGTGCGCGTGTGTGGGTAGGTTTTCAGCGTCACGTATGTGTACATATATATATATATATATATATTTGCCATTTTTACCATACTATTGTAAATGTACTACAGAATCGTCATTTCCCATCTTAGTTCTGCCAGCCATGTTAAGTGTCTTACATTGCTTGTATGGGTCAATCATTTGCCCAACAATTCCAGTTGTACAGTATGAGCAGTTTCTATGAGTCATGTTATCATATACATGTTCATTGACCTATGTCCATTCATATATATATATATATGGCCGTAGTCCTCCAAATATCGTTTGCAGAAGCGCGTAGGGCTTCCAAAAGGGAAACAGACAAGTACATATCCAGGTTTTTTTTAGCTTTTTGGAGCAGTAGGATATGCTGATTCAATCAAGTCACATGTTTATTGTGCTTTTGTTCCCCATTAGTTGCATACATCATATAAAAACATATGTGCCAGGGTCAAAACTTGGATCATATATGTTCCCATGTTGGGGCATGGTATGGCATGGTCATCAATCCATTAATAGAGATTTATATGGATGTTTCAATGGGGCTCCCCCCAAATCGTCCAGTCATTAGACCATTTTCGTGTTTTCAAACCTATGGTTTTCGGGATCCTCCACGAGTTAAGAACCATATATATATATATACATATACATATGTATTATACATACATATACATATATACATTAATATGCATATACATTAATAGATATTATATATATACATGTATATATACACCCATTATTTTTAGAATCAGAATGAGATGACCATAATGCCAGGAACACGAGAAGAAGAAGCAAGACTGGAGTGACATGCAGGATGGGCAAAGATGTTTTTTTTGTTTTCCGCCGAGAGAAAAATGCTAACCATTTGGCTCTTTTTCGTGTGTGTGTGTGTGGTATACAATATGATAATATGATATGATTATATTATGTGTACATGTACATACATAGATATAGATATGTTGATTCTGGAGTAGATAGAATATGGGAATGTCCAAGAATCTTCACTCAAATATGGAACATATGGATACATGTTTGAACATGTTTGAACATCCATGTTCTATCTACTTCAGGATGATGATATTTCATGATTATATGATGATACCTCAGGATGTGGATCAAAGCCCCGGTACCCTGGACATTGAATGACATTGAAATAGCTGGTAATAGCTGGATGTTGATGCCCACCATGGCACCTGGCAGCAAAAACACATCCCAAAAAATGGGATTAACCAGCTCAAATAACCGAAACCTATTGAATATTGGGATTTCAACACGAAACATCGGACGACTTGTCTCGGAAAACGATGAGAACATGACGGTGAACAGGGTTTCCCTTCAGAATTTGTCGCTGTTCCCTTCAACCAATCCACTGAATTTGGTTTATTTTTAGTACAAAGGGTGAAAAAACTATGAAGATGAGGTTTAGAATTTGATTGGACTTGACAATATCGGTGTGACCAGCAAACACTGCACCTGATGCCTATAATTAATGAATTGCAGTTATTTGGACAGTTTTCCCCATGAATGAATCGGGCTTCATGTCTACTGTACCGATGAAATGGTTTTTTTTGTAGTCTCAAAGCATGGTACAGCAATATAACCACAAGCAGAAAATGGACCAAAATTTACAGTGAAGTGGGACGGGATGGTGAGATTGCGCCTTAAACTGCCCCAAGATTCCAATTCACAGCATGCAAATGGTTCAAACTAGCTACGTAGAATTGACTGAACAGCCAAGTTACCACACTGAAGTAGCCTTCACCAGTTGGTTCCACAGCAGGATACTCAGCCAACTCGCTGGGAAGAGAGTCGCAGTGGAAACAGGCACAACGACTGGTCAGTTGCCAAGTTGCGTCCTCCAAAGGGGGGTTCTAATTAATTCCCTGTGAGGGTTTATATTTAGCATGGAACCCAAAGAATTGGAAGATTGTGTTCTGTTGGATATTGGGCATGTTTTATGCATTTTTGGATTTCGTGTTAATTTAGGGGGACTTTCCTCGTTCGGGATTTGTAGCTGGAGGGCTATTTATTTGGGATTTTGTCGATCAGTGGTGCAAGTCCTCAAGGTGTTAACTTTGGCTTCCCGTGCCCGTCTTTGCCATGTCTTCCGTGACAACGCCACAATGTATATACCTATTCTCAGTATTTCTTTGTGATTTACATGCACACCTGGTATCCCTAGACAAACCTTCATCCGGCCCTAAACAAACTTTGGAAAGAATTTAAGCCAACACCAAATGAACCCTAAATAAATCCTAAATAAATGCTAAATAAATCCTAGATAAATCCTAAATAAATGCTAAATAAATCCTAAATAAATCCTAAATAAATCCTAAATAAATCCTAAATAAATCCTAAATAAATCCTAGATAAATCCTAAATAAATCCTAAATAAATCCTAGATAAATCCTAAATAAATCCTCAATAAATCCTAGATAAATCCTAAATAAATCCTAAATAAATCCTCCATAAATCTAAACCAGCACCATGAGAACATCCAATCAAACTATTTGTACCCAACAAGGCTGTGCTTCAACCTATCTAAACATACACAATCAGTACCCGTATTTAACCTACAGCATTACATTTAAGAATAGTTATTGACATTCTGCGCTATTAAGGTCAAGCCCTGCGCCACCAACACCCTTCATTTTTTTTCCTGTGTACTGGTTTCAGTGCATGTTTTTGCGCACCATCTTTCTTGATCAAAATTGACATGTATGTATAATCTTATATAATCACATAATATTCATATATATATATATACATACTCGTTATTCGTTTGGTGTTTATTTATTTATTTAATTATTTATTTATTTGACATGATCTATAATCTCCTGCACGCTTTTGTTTGGTGCATCTCACCATGTATTCCCAAGTTTTTAACAAAACCAATCAACAACATGAAACAATCAAATGCCACAATGCTACACAAATATCGCCTTCCAACTTCCAGCAAACAGAACAAGCGTAATTATTATTTTTAGGGGCAGGAACACAATCAGAACAATTGCAACAACCAGAACAATCACAACCAACATGTAGCAATCGCATGCAAAATGGAAGTTTGAAGTACGAACAAGCATCAAAAGCCATGCAACGTGAAAGGTTCAAGTACCAAAATGTCGCAAAAACCATGTAACATGACGGTCTGAAGTACCAAAATGAGGCAAATACTATGCAACATGAGAGGTTGAAGTGCCACATAATATAGCAAATACCGTGCAAAAGGGAAGGTCAACATGCCAAAATGTGTGAACATTTCAATATTTAGCAAAAACTGCAAAATGACGCGTTCTAGTTCCAAATTGTTGCAACTGTAAGGCAAATGGTACCAAGAAAGAAATATAAAGAAAATCCCAAACCTGATCAAAAAAAAATCTTAACATAAAACATCTTAAAATTATTCTTCACCCCTTGTAACTCAGCTTGCAACCTACTTTCATGTCATTTATGGTAAAATCTGATGTTTCATCGTCTATGTTTGCTGGCAACACAAAATGTTACAACAAAATTGGGCCCCACCCGATTGGCAAGCTGGTTTGCAAGCAGGACGGATGATTTGATAGAGGGTACATATATCCACAGTTGGATGGGTGACGAACCAACTTCGAACTGAGTCCCAACTTTGCAACCATAATTAGCGGGAGTTGAAGCATGTTGCCACCAGAGCCCAAAGCAGCCAGGTGGAATTCATTGGAAATCCGGAAGATATGGTGGACATAAGGTTTTTTTTTGATGGTTAAGTAAAGTTAAGTATAATTAACATGTTATGAATTCATTTGTGCTTTTAGAACATCCAGTTTTGCTGGTTAGTTATCTATATGTTGCTTTGTGGAGAATGCCCATCCCTTGGTTATCTTGGTTCGCTCCGTTTTGTGTGTCAGGCAGAGCAACCGCAAGCCGTGGCGCGATGAAGGCGGTGATGGCAGTTGGCACACTCGGAACAGTTGGATGATTTAAAGATCAATGGGAAAATGGCAGATTTCGATAGAATTTAATGTTCATCATGTTTTCAAAGATCAGAATTTAAAAAGTGCAGATTTAATCAATGGGAAAACATGATGAAATGTCGTCAAATTTAGGGGTACCCATGGGTACCCCATTTTTGCACAAACCCAGGTTGACAGCAGGACAACAAAAACATTCATCAGGTTGTTTGTGTCATTTGGACACTAACCAAACAAGACAGGATATTGACCTACAAAATTTGGATATGATGATCACCCAGCGGATGAAGTGGGGAAGTGGGGCAGACAACAACTTATGGCCACTATTGGTAAAATGCGGAGAAACCATAGAACTATTATTTACATATACATATACATATATATATATACATACATGTATATATATATATACATATCATATAATATATATATATGTACTTGGAACTATTATATACGTTTGACGGGTGGATTTGGGGTATATGCAATGTTTGGACCAACCCAGCAGTTGGTGACTGGATCCGTGAGTCTCTATCCCGTTGCTGTTGATTATAGTTGATCCCAATGTTGGCAGTTTACATGAACATTATATAGTCAAAATCGGGGCAGCCATGGGCACCCCAGAGAGATGAGTTGACAGAACATGACCATGACCATTTACAGTAGCTGTATCCATATTATCCATATGCTCGCTCAGCTAGATGGGTTAGGACGGCTTCATAGTTTTCTCGGAGATGCATCTCAGGAATCGCTGTACAAGCGAATGGGAAGAATCTTTAGCCAGTTCTGGTGGAGGAACATGGTGGAAAATGACACAAACGCTACCACGGTCCTTCTTGATTCCTGATTGATCAGTTTGTTCACAAGATGGATCATGTCGAGTGACGGGCACATGTCGCTTCAAATGCACAGTTTAAACGGATCATCCAGGCGTGATATTAGTTTCCCACAGCCCTCAGCAATAATACGGAAAGTTGTAAATCCAGTTTGCTGGTTGCAGAGACTCTCAACTCTCAACTAGTCATGTCTTTACTTTGTCTGAAAATAGGGTTTTTCTACCCCATTCATCCCCATTTGGTCAATCCAGACATTTCCCATCTAGAAATAGCCATTTGGGAGGTATACCCTATTTTCAGATAGACTTTGTTGACTTGTGCATTCAAAGATGTGATCGTCACCAGATGATGTCCTTTTGCCTGAAGGCTACGGCTGGGACGATCATCGCAAGGATGAAGGTGCTGAAATCCCGGGGGGATGTTGGTCTTCACTGAAGAGAAATCAGGGTATATTGTCGGAAAACCTAAAGGAAATCATGCTTTTACAACTCAAAAATTGGTGTTGCCCGGCTAAGACTTTCCCTGCCAATCCATTGACAGGGTCTGGTGACCCTTAATGCTCGGCTCACAGGGACTTTAAAATATCGTCTCTGATGTGGGAAGGTGTGGAAAAGCCCAATGATTGGTATACCATGGATTTTTCTCTATGGCGATGATGTGACCCCCAGGCCCCCGATCATTATTTTTTGATCCCTGTTGAAATGTACAATGGTTAAATGGTTGTTCCAAGTCCCCCCTGTTTATTTCAACGGGGATATTTTTTGTCTACCACATTCTAGTTCTAGTTTTTTCTTGCAAAATCCGGTTGGAAAATCCTGTGTTGAAACCTCATGGTCCTGATCGGCTCATGGGAGTGATTCCAGGCCTTGAAAATATGCTACCCTCTGGTAAACTAACATAACTATGGAAAATCACCATTTTTTATTTTATGGGAAAATCCACTATAAATGGCCATGTTCAATAGCTATGTTAAATTACCAGAGGGTAACGATTACTTCCAAATCCAATGGTTCATCAGTTTTTGTTTGTGCACGAATTTTGCGGGACCGGATATTGAGACAGACCCCATTTGGGGCCTTTTTTTCTCCAACGCGACTCACAGTTGTTTGATTCGTTGCATTGAATTGGGACCCATATTTGATGGTGAAACGAAAACAAAAACATGTTTCTTGTAGTATATGTCCCAGTTAAACCCATGGTTTCCATTGGTTCCTACATATTCTCCCTTGGTGAGACCAGTTCGCGAGGCTCTGCCTGGGATTCCTGGGACTATTCGTGGAAGGGCAAGGGCCGCGTTTCGCGACGTGCACAGCGACAGGCGGGACATCGGAATCACCATATTAGGGTGCTAATAAAGCATCCCCAGTCATGGTAGGTTTATGACATTGGGTTTTACCACGTTATTATTATAGTCATCGTAAATGCATATGTATATAATTAATTATAATTATATTATATATATATATATGTATGTACACATGTATATATATATATACATATATAATGCATAGGTGTGTGTAAACATGGCTATTGGTCAAATTAAATAGCCCTAAATTAGATGCTTATACAAGACTAACAACTAAAAGCTGCAGTCCCCTGGGTCTTGAATGTTGACTCATATTATATCCATATTAATATAAGTCTATAGTATGTAAATGCTTAATATAAGTCTATAGTATATTAATATTAATTGGGTATATGTAAATCATGCAATATACTATCTATAGTAGCAATCCGCAAAAAGATGTAATTTGGTCAAATGCTTCTAAACTAGCGGCAAGTGACTCTAAGTAACCCTATCCTCAAATTGCATGATTGGGTAGTTTCAGCTGGGTTCAGCACATGTTGCTTGAACCCGCATGTTGCTTGCGGCTAGCCCCCATTTCACTTACTATCTCTTGGTGGATTATTCAGAAGAAAAACAGCTAGTAGGGTTACAGTGGAAGCACCAACCGACTGAAATGACCCGCCACTTGTTTCGACCAAGGATTGTAGCCATACATGACCACAAGTTGGGATTTTCATTTTTGGGATTTGATGGGTTGACAATGCTCGACATAGTGGTTCGTAAATGTATATATATAATTATATATATATGATTATATATATATGATTATATATATATATGATTATATATATGATTATATATATATATACAATTGCGTAATATATATATACAAATATATGCTGTATACATTGTATCATATTGTACAATAATCTACAATTCCATTCAGATTGTGCTTTTACGGGATCTGAGCCTGGAAGATCATGAAATCAGGCGGGACATGATACCTGGAGTGATCGTGAGTGGCAGCGTGGTTGCAGTGGCGGGATGGGTGCCATTGGGCCATTGGGGATGGTGAAAAATGTTGGGTGAAGGCAGCTACACTACTCTTTTTTTTGAGGCTGCAATATTATATATATATATACATAGATATATAGATACAGAATGATATAGATATTTAGATATAGATATATAAGCAATATTATATATATATATATATTAATACAATTGTATATTTCATGTGCAGGATAAAGACATGGTACACCTCCGTACGCCGGAACCCCCGGGCCTTTATGTGTGTTCCTGTCAATAGTCGATGTTTACGTCTCATGACTGGGACATACGCCCAAATATCCGGTTGTTTGCACGTCCCTTTTATGCACGTCCCTTTTATGCACGTCCCTTTTATGCATGTTCCCCCGTTTTCCCTCCTAGCTATCTTTTGACACGCAAGTGTGGATGTATATCTATCTATATTTGCCATGTACATACACAATCCATACCTATCATTAGTATAATCATGTATATCTGGTTGGTGGTTTGGAACATTTGGATTATTTTTCCATTTCATATATGGGATGTCATCCGAAACCCATTGACGAAGTTTTTCATTTTTCAAGATGGGCACATTGCACCACCAACCAGTGTTGATCGTATTGGCCTTGGAGTCCTTGGAGCCGATACCTCTATATGTCACATATAGAATGATAGGAATATACCTAGATACATGGGTATACCTACATTTGCAGGCATATATATATATATACATATGTGATAATTATATACATTATATATATATATTTTTTGTACATACAAAGCTACATAGACCTTGAACCCAACTGACCTTAAAGCACCCATGACTTCCTCGTGGATGTGAATTGGTGTAACGTCCCACTTGAGGCGCTCATGGTACGCTCGGGAGGAGTCACAAACCATCCAGGACAGCATGGATGGCGATATTTTCGGGTGTCCAATTTATGGGGGTACCCCAAATGGATGGTTTATAATGGAAAATCCTCTAAAAAATGGAGTACCCCTATTTTTCAGGAAACCTCCATATAACTCGATAGATATACCCAGTAAATGTTTCCGTAGATCCCGAAAATTCTCGATTTTGAGTGAGCTTGGAAGATTCCAACCTTCTATTGGTAGGGTCTATATGTCTATGTTAATTTGGTGGATGGTATTAATGGATTGTTTTTTTTTTAGTATTTAACTAACCAAAATGGGGGGATAACCTTGATACAACAAACGGAATGGGGACTTGCTGGAACCAATCATGATTTCCAGGGGATATTTCTACAGGGGGTCATATCATATCTGGTTGGTGGTTTGGAGCCATGGAATTTTATGACTTTCCATATATTGGGAACAATAATCCCAACTGACGAACTCATATTTTTCAGAGGGGGTCGGTATACCACCAACCAGATATCTGATTTACATTGATTTACCCTAAAGGCAGGGTTCTTGAAAAATACCACGACCGCGTAATTATCGCTTGGATTATTTGGGGATCGTACAACAATGATGTCATATGGCAATGAATCAATACCTATTAATACCATTTTTAATGGGATGAACATCCATTTACCAGCTATTTTGAGGTTCACCAGGGGTACAAGGTTTTGACACACTGCCATATGATTCTCATAGTCAGGACATTTGACCATCTTAGGATTTCACCAACACACGAGAAAGTGCGCAAAGACTTCTCCATGTTTCGCATGTTGCCCTTCGGCAATCAAACATCCCCTATCTAAAGCTTGATGTGTTGTCCCATTATATGGAAGGGATATAAAGGTTTTTTTTTAGCCAGGCATCACTGATAGGTAGCTTAGATTCCCCCATGATTTTCCCCTTGATAATTACCAGCATGTCAAATTGATGTAGCTTAAATACGCTTAAATCCCCAATATATCCCATTCATATCCACTTTCGATTACCAAAGGCTAGTCGCTGGCTCGAGGAGGAAGCTCCAGCCAAGGGCGACGAAGCTCCGGCCGAAGGCAAGGTTCCCGGAGCCCACATGAATCAATCCTGGCCTATGTTTTTCCTTGGTCCATGTTTATTTCTCTGATACAGCTTTGAAAAACAACATATTTTAATGTATGTGGTATCTTAGTAGGTTTTGTATTCTATTAGGTTTCGGGGAAAATAAGATGGCATTAATATGTCTTGTAATGTCTTGTATACTTTCAATTCACAATCACAAGTTTGGTGCCCAGACACCCTGGCAGGTAGCACAAGTGCCAGCAGCAGTGGGGGACCCCACGGGTGACTGCATTTCAGGTCAATAAACCAAGAAAACTCACAAAGATGGAGGATGTTCTTGGCACGCATGAGGATTGTTATACCAGCAAACATAGAGAATATATGAAGGTAACCAAAATACATGGTGATTTCAAATGATATTTGTCGCCAAAGAAATGATAGATATCTTCCAGAGATGTGTTTCTATTTCCTCAGGGATTGATGCATCAGAGTTGGCACGTGATGTGCTTCCCTGGATTTTCAGAGATCAGAGATATCCCAGTGCCTGAGGCTACAACAAGGTTTTTCATCAAAAACTAAGCATGGTCCGGTGGAGTCCAGTGTTCTATCATGTCTTATGATCATCAGTATGGCTGGAGGGAAAGACACTAGATCAACATACCCATACTCCATGTTTGCTGGTGAAGCATGTTCACAACTCCCCAGGTTCAGAAAGTCTTGGTGCCACGGGTGGTGACTCAGGCACTTGGTCAATGTGGGGAAACAACAAAATCTGGAAGTTTACCTCTGAAACAGTCTGAAACATCTGGATTTCGATATTTCAACCCATGAAAACGTTTCATTTCATTGGATTTGCGTGTGTGTTGTGTATTAATGCTTACTGTATAGAAAAAAATGGGGTCCTTGACCCATGACAATTAGGATGGTTAGCCATCAGAAGGTGAGATTTTAAGCCAGACACGCGCCGTGGATTTGGAATTTATAATACAGTAATAACATATATACTATAACATATAATGGAGTTTTTATTATAATGGAGTTATTAGTATTTCCATATATTATCATAATAACATATAGTTTATAATAATAACACATATTGTAATCCATAAAAGCTGTACTCCATCAAGGAAAAAAACTGTTGTTTACCTGCAGAAAGTGGAGTGTCAACCATTGATTCCAAATCATTAAAAACAACACACCAAACTTCGGATTTCACCGGGTCTTCATATTCCATTATGGTGTTGTAAAACATCGCTGCTTGATGTCCCGTTTGGCTGAAGTTGATGATGACTGTGCTGTTTGTGCGTTGTGTTTTCTCATGTGGGTGTGTCTTAAGACAGGGTACAGTACTATACCTCAAAAGGATCGTTGTAACAGGACACGGCATCCCATCTTCAGACAAACATTAATATTAACATGTGTTCGTTCTGAACATTTAGGGATGTGTCAAACGCTGTGAATTTCTAGCATCTATGTCAGGGGATGAACATCCAGCCATACACCAGCAATTTTAAGATGCTTTGGGGCACCACTAAACGGCCGCAGGAGAATCAACAAACATGACAAAATGATGGCTGGTTGGTGGTTTGGAACATTTTTTATTTTTCCATATTTTTCCATATACTGGGAATTTCATCATCCCAACTGACTAATATGTTTCAGAGGGGTAGGGCTCAACCACCAACCAGATGGGTACAAAATGCCACCAGAGTTGTGTGATGCTGGAGGAGGCTATTTTCGAAATCACTGGATTCTACTTAAATTTCCACATCACTGGACCCGTTGTTGACGAACATCTTTGCATGAATCTTCCAGCTGAATCCGGGTTCACATGGCATAGCTATAGACAAGAACAGGATCAAAAACACATATCAAAAAACATATCAGTAATTTATGGTACCCTCTCATAAACTAACAGCTTGCGAACTTGAAAATGGCCATAGAAATAGGTGATTTACCCAGCTATGAAATGCTTATTTTCCATAGTTATGTAACAGTTTACCAGAGGGTAATTTACCATACATTACAAGCCCAGATATCGTCACTGGAATGATGAGGATTCGGGGAATCCCCCAAGGTGAGGCCGATTTCTTTCAGCCACGACTATAGTGGCTGAATTATAGAATCTATAATATAATATTTTATATATGTGTTTAATATATGTATACATTCGAAAAGTTACTTTTATTTTCCTTGGGCACCTGCGGCAGGCTACACCACAGTGATGCTGCGCAACATCCCCAACAAATACACGCGAGAGATGTTGGTGAAGCAGCTGAACCAGGCGCTGACCCAGGTCGATATCAGGAAAAATCATGGGGATGGACTTAGAAGTACCCTATTTTTACACCGAACATGTTGGGGCCCTTAGTTTGATGGAGATGTGATGGCTGTAGTATGCTGTAGTGCTTGGAAATTGACCATCGTCTTCCAATAGTTTAACGATGTTTAACGTTGTTCCTTTCTGCATGGTTCACCTGGGTGCTCAGCCGATCACATTCTTGAGATGGGTGGAACGGTGGAACCTATAATTCCTACGCAGTACTTCAATTGGAGCCCTAGGTCTTAAGCACTGAGACAATTTGAAATTGCCGATTTTGAACGCGCAATGAACTACAACCAAGTTTCTCCACACTTGAGCATTCCATTCCTCTTTTTTTTCAACAAAAATTGGGCAGCGCTCGAAATTCTCGTCCCAGTGAGGACTTCAAGGGTCGCTTCGACTTTGTCTACTTGCCCATTGATTTCAAAAATAAGTCCGGAACCCTGGTGGAAAGCGGCCACCTGGAGGTCTTTTTGTTGAGCTTTATATAAAGCGATCCCCAAGATCGGGTTGGTAATGGGAAATCAATGGAAATCATGGGAAATCCCAAAGAAAATCGAAAATCCCAAAGAAAAAATGGATATCTGGGGGTACCCCATGAAAATCCCCCCATTTTAGGAAACCTCCCTGGAATGGGTGACCCAAAAACCGAATCGATTCCTCGGAGATGGTCGCCAAAAAGGGGGGATTTCTCGTGTGGGGCTCCACCTGGATCCAGCTTGGATCTATTGGGCTCTGGGTGATGGCAGAATTGTATTGTGGTGTGTATATTTATCTATATATAATATATATACATATAAATATATAAATAAATATATAAATATATAAATATATAAATATAAATATATATATATTACATATACATAGAGATTTTTGGGTTCCTTCACAGGTGCAACGTGGGCTATGGCTTCGTGAACTTCCGCACCTCCGCCTCCTGCGACGAGTTCATTGCCAGGCTGCGCTCGGCTGACCATCGTCTGATTTGGAGAACAGGTTGAAGAAAGTCTTTGAAAAATATGGACTATGTACCAAGAATGTTTTTGTTTTTTTGTTTAGGAATCCCCCATGTATAGCTCACTATAAAGTGGACATCCTTTGCGCTTATAAAGTGGGTTTCCGGTCGCCACTTTATATACCGACAATGGGGGATAAAGCCGTGTTTTGCGCGAGAAACATGCCCTTGGACCTGGAAGATGACTTTATAGCAACGTTGGCTTTCCAGTTTATACCCGGCTGGTTCCCCACAAGGAAACGACTCAATATATGCGGCAATGCATTTTATAGACCGTTGGTTCCCTTCAAAGAATGGCCATAATATGTCACACCATCCACTTTATAGAAACATGTCTCCCCAATGATTTCGGGCCAATATCTTTCTGTTGGGGCTGTATACATGGCAAAGCACTTTATAGAGTGAAACTTGCCCTTTAAGAAGAAGAATTTGTGCTGCATCCAGGGCACTTTATAGAAAGAAAATTGCGGCAGAGCATTTTATAGAGTCATGAGATACATCACCCAAATCACTTTATAGAGCTGCCCAGGACCCCATTCACCCTGAGGACCCCTTTCAAGGGAAATCTTCTTCTCTATAAAGTGGCCAGTCCAGGTAAAACCCCTGAAAAAACAGAATCTATGTTGGACTGGCCACTTTATACCCCCTCCCCAAACAGAGAATGCCTCTATAAAGTGGCCAGTCCAGGTAAAACCCCTGAAAAAACAGAATCTATGTTGGACTGGCCACTTTATACCCCCTCCCCCAACAGAGAATGCCTCTATAAAGTGGCCAGTCCAGGTAAAACCCCTGAAAAAACAGAATCTATGTTGGACTGGCCACTTTATACCCCCTCCCCCAACAGAGAATGCCTCTATAAAGTGGCCAGTCCAGGTAAAACCCCTGAAAAAACACATTTTTACCTGGAATGGCCACTTTATACCCCCTCCCCCAACAGAGAATGCCTCTATAAAGTGGCCAGTCCAGGTAAAACCCCTGAAAAAACACATTTTTACCTGGAATGGCCACTTTATACCCCAGCCAGTGGGCTCCAGGACTTTGACCCGGAAACGGAAGGGCTGACAACAAGGTAAAGGGGGAAAACTACAACGGAGAGGTACAACGGGAAGGCTACCACAAGAAAATGAGACATGTCACGTTTATATACGTTTATTGTTTTCAATGTGTCATATAGATTGGCGATGATTGGTATATTGAATATGTTGTAGATGTATTTTGGAACATATGTATACCTATGATTCACACATCAATATAAATATATATAAATCATAAACACATGCCAAACCAAAAACTTTTAGCTGAGTATTGTATTCCCAATCTGTTGGCAAATGTCCAGCCGATTCACCATGCGTGACCCAACAAGATTCAAACTATGGATTGTTTACTTTTGAAAAAAAAACTGGGTGAATCTACGTATATCTATGACGACAATCTCCCAAAATCATCCTAAAAATCTATGGACATCTATGGACCAAAACCACGGCCACATGCCCATCCTCTATAAAATGGTTTGCAAGAAAGTTCAGCTCTATAAAGTGGCTTGATCACGTCATTTCTGGCAGCCCCACCCTCTGTATAAACTGGCCGGTCCATGCCCATCCTCTATAAAATTGTTTGCAAGAACCAGTAAAAAAATATTTTCGAAAGTAAACAATCCATAGTTTGAATCTTGTTGGGTCACGCATGGTGAATCGGCTGGACATTTGCCAACAGATTGGGAATACAATACTCAGCTAAAAGTTTTTGGTTTGGCATGTGTTTATGATTTATATATATTTATATTGATGTGTGAATCATAGGTATACATATGTTCCAAAATACATCTACAACATATTCAATATACCAATCATCGCCAATCTATATGACACATTGAAAACAATAAACGTATATAAACGTGACATGTCTCATTTTCTTGTGGTAGCCTTCCCGTTGTACCTCTCCGTTGTAGTTTTCCCCCTTTACCTTGTTGTCAGCCCTTCCGTTTCCGGGTCAAAGTCCTGGAGCCCACTGGCTGGGGTATAAAGTGGCCATTCCAGGTAAAAATGTGTTTTTTCAGGGGTCTTACCTGGACTGGCCACTTTATAGAGGCATTCTCTGTTGGGGGAGAGGGTATAAAGTTGCCATTCCAGGTAAACATGTGTTTTTTCAGGGGTTTTACCTGGACTGGCCACTTTATAGACGCATTCTCTGTTGGGGAAGGGGGTATAAAGTGGCCAGTCCAAAATAGATTCTGTTTTTTCAGGGGTTTTACCTGGACTGGCCACTTTATAGAGGCATTCTCTGTTGGGGGAGGGGGTATAAAATGGCCAGTCCAACATAGATTCTGTTTTTTCAGGGGTTTTACCTGGACTGGCCACTCTATAGAGAAGAAGATTTCCCTTGAAAAATTCCTCAGGGTGAATGGGGTCCTGGGCGCGCCGCGCGCGCGCGCCAAAAAGGTGTCAAAATTGGAGCCATTTTGGCGCGCACGCGCGCGCGGCGCGACCAGGACCCTTTCACCCCAAGGACCCCTTTCAAAGGAAAGTGTGTTAGAGGCATTCTCTGTTGGGGGAGGGGGTATAAAGTGGCCAGTCCAACATAGATTTTGTTTTACCATAGATTCTGTTAACGACTTCGATATAGATATTTGTCTGGCTGTCGGTTTCGTTCGGTTTCGAAGTCATTCGAAGTCTTTTGGGTTCCCCATCGATGAGATCGATGATATTCCCCCAAGGTTTGAACGTGGCCCCTCAACTTTATAGACAATCATGTCGATGCTGCCATCGTCGCGATTAAGAAAATCATCGCTACTACAACGATCGTTGTTTAGCCGGAAATCCACATTATAGTGCCACTGTTCTGCACAAGTATTACTATCTGGATGTTCGGCATCTCACTTTATAGTCATGGGACATGTTCACAAGTACCCTCAAAAACCTGCATCGAGTTTTATGTTTTTACGCGGCCAGGCGACTTTATACAAACGTTGGATTTTGACTTTGTAGACAAAACATGTTGGCTTTCCACTTTATAGACTCCAGACATGTGGCCATTCCAGTTTATACCAGGCTATTCTCTATAAAGTCGGCCGCAAAGCATCTAGCGGGCTATACATGGGGGATGTTTAGGACATGTTGCTGTTGTTGCTGTTGCTGTTGCTGTTGTTGCTGCTGCTGCTGTTGTTGTTGTTCTTGTTCTTGTTTCTCTTTCGAGGAATGTGTTTGAAGAACATGTACTTTTGGAAAACATGAGCTATATCCTGGTTGTTTAGAGATGGTTGAAGAATTGAACAACAAAATGTTCAGAGAAGCAAACATGAAGTTGAAAACAACCCTTCTGAATTGTCAAAATATTGTTTACTGGTCAATGAAGCACAATGAAGCACGTGCACTTGAACAAACTGAATTTGCAGCTAAGAATTGTGGTAAAGCATTGCTAGAAAGTCTGCAACACTAGAACAAGGTGACCAGCCAAGCAGAAATGGATTAAGATTGCTGGCGCACACCACAGACTATCGTAGCTGCAATGATCCTCCAAGTAACATAACATAGTTGGGACCTTTGGAGGCAGCACCTTTGGAGTTGGGGATTCTATGGAATTCCCAAAAAGTTTGGCTCATACCCAGCTGGTGCATATTGATCACTTGAACAAATCTGGATTCTGGATGCCAGGATGTTGGCGTCCCAAGAATGTCCATAATCAGCATATATATATAACTATATATTATACTGTATATATATACACATACATAAAAAAAAGTGCATCTTATAGGTGACATGTGTTTGATGCTGAGTCTTTGCTTGGTAGCAGCTGACGTTTTGCTTATATACATGGTGCTTCACCAACTCTGCATGGGAACTTGATCAGGATTTTGGTATCCTGGCATGATCTTCAGACATACACATGCCCATGAAAAATACCATCTACTTAAGTACTTATTAACCGGTGTTTTTGTTGCTTGGTCAAGTTCCACAGTTTGTGCCGTGAAATTCCTATGTTTGGTCGTTTCAAACCCAAGTGTTCACTAAAAAACAAAATGCTGTAGTTAGTAAATGAACACACAACTATAACTCATTCACTGGAGATGTCTCCATAGTTACTGCCTTAAAATTCCCATGTCTATCTTCAAGAAGACCATCTCATTCCTTGCTATCAGAGGCAATCCGACGCCACAGGTACGATGGAGTGGATGTTCGCAAATGCTTGCCAGGGTGCGCCACCAATTTTCGAAACCGCGAAACCGGTGGGTTAAGAAAAAGATGCCACAAAAACGCGAAATTCTGATGATCGTTCTGCCGATCACATTCAGAATTTGGAGCTTCTATTCCAAGTTTAAGTGGTAAAACGATATATAGTTTTGCTGGTTGAAAGTCATGATTCTTGCGAGTCGTTTTGTTAAAACCATCGATGATTGGATATGATTGGTTATTCAGCAGTTGCATGTCGAAAAAGCGCCTAGAATACTCCAGAAAACTCTAGCTATGTTTCTTCGGATGTTTGAGGATATGGTGTTTCTTTTTTGGTATATGTTTTTTCTATTATTGTGCAGTCTCAATGGCATGCATTTGTCATTCTTGTGTGGTCACACTGAAAGACTAAACAGGGGACTTGTCATGTTCAGCACTAAAGCGTCCTTGCTTGACCTGCTTGCGATACCCCGTGGCAAACATGGCATTGATCACGAAAACCAGGGCTACAGTGTCAAATGACCAATCCTCCAAGTTTCTTTGACCTGGCTAGAAACTCACCTATGGTCACAACCAAATGAGGTTACCACAGACCTTTCTTTGTTGATACCTTCTGTTGGTGTATGTTTGTCAATGAGCAGCATCATATATATATATATATACACACATATGTATATGTAATAATTCTACACATATGTACATATTATGTATGTATTTATGTATGTATGTATGTATGTATGTATGTAATTGTATGTATGTATGTATGTATGTATGTATGTATGTATGTATGTATGTATGTGTATATATATATATGCTGTTCTGTATAAAATCCAGCAACGTCGTCATTATCGTCACCATTATCATCGTCGCCACTTGTTGAGGCGTGTTGTTTCTTTCAGACCACTAGCTAGCTGTTGGTAACGTCCCCCCCTTCTTCACATGTTGCCTATGAATGAATCCCCATCTTCCAGGAAATTATATGTCACACATGTGTATGTAGATGATCGTGAATGTACGATAATATAGACATGTACATATGCATATAGGTAGATAGGCCAAAAGAATCCAATAGATAGGTAGATGGTTTGGATTTGACTAATTAGTTAGTTAGTTTAGATTAGCTATTAAATTGCATCATATTAGATTAGATAGATATCTAAACTATATCATACTACATCAACATATAATTTGCATAGTTGCGCCCATATAGGCACACATCCATGTCACGTTATATATGTTACATTATCCATGTAATACTTTATATTATATATATATATCATGGTTAATTGGTTAATATAAATGTAGTAGTCCAGTTTGCGCTGCCAGGGGCCAAGTTCAAGTAGTAGTTGCAACCCCCCACCTTAGTTCGATGATTTTTTTTTCTCCTGCGATGCCTAAAAAACGGGGATTTTGGAGATCACCATGTTGGATGACACCGGAGGGTTTTCCACCAATAACATGTGTTTTTGAACAGATTGTATACTGTGGATATCATTGTATAACTGTGGATAGTTAACATATTATACTGTGGATAGCCATGTATAACTGTGAATATCATTGTATACTAAGTGTGAGTATCTCTTAAAATATGTGTCTTGTTTTTATCCCCCGGCAATCAAACACGGCGGGCCGCTGGAACATCCCCTTAGTTTGATGATTGTCCCAGCTGGAAAAACCTCCACGGCCATGTTTGAGTACTCTATTGGATTCTTGGATGTATATCCCAAGATATATCCACCAAAAATGTTCATCCTTTCCCATTATATCCCATAAAACCACTAAAATCATCTATAATCCCCATGAAAAAATCCATTATTAATAACCATTCCCATTTCTAAGGCTCCATATCCCACATAGATATATCCAGTTTATAATCCAGTTTATATAATACTATAAGATATCCAGTTTATATATCAATAATATGTCCATTTACCACAATCTTCTACAAACCACCAAGCTTCAGGTTGAATTCCAAGAAGGTGGCGGGCGTGACACCTGCGCGTGTGCAGGGGCTTGAGGAGCGAAACTTACGTGGAGTCGTGGCTTACCCCCAGGGTAAACATACAAAAAGATGTGGAAAAATCATGAGAAACCATAGCTGCCATAGCTGGTTGGTGGTTTGGAACATGAATCATATGACTTTCCATTCAGTTGGGAATGTCATCATCCCAACTGACGAACTCATATGTTTCAGAGGGGTTGAAACAATCAATTAGATAGGTGAATGATCTACATGCATGGTTTTCCACATCGAACTGTTAGTTTACAATAGGGTACCTGAACATTGCCCCTACTGGGAACCACCATGTACTAATGCAATAAAAAGGGATAACCACAAGTGTTGAAGTTCAACCAGAGTTGTTGTTCTTTTGGGGAAGGGATATGTTTCCGTTGTTGAGGCAAACTCACGCGATGAATGCAAATAGATGGCCCGGCTAAACATCTAGTTATTCAAACAGGGTATCCAAGATGATTCATTTGTGGTTGTGACATTTTGAAAATGTCGAACATCTATGATCAGCAGACTTAAAACTTTTGCAAGGAATGCATTGAAGCCACTGAAAAAAGCAGGAGGTCCTCGTTTCTTTTGGACAGATCATCCTGAGCACAGGAGAACGTGCGCCGTTTGCGGACAGGCACAGCTGGCAATAGATGGGATCATTTTGGTCCAATTTCTGGAAGCTCCCGGGACGCTCCCATGTTGTTGGTACCACCATGTGTTTTCGTGTGTCTTCCAATAGATTATATATGCTGACAAATATTCCCAGGATATGTAACAACTATTTCAGACACCCACCATAGGACCATATGAAACACCTGATCTTTCACGGGCTTCCAAGTTAGTTGCGAAGATGATCCCAGGTTCTGACTAGCTTCATCGGGTTGCAGGAACAAGGGATGATTGTTGAACTGGGTAAAGCCGGTGGTTAAGGGGTAATGGTAGTTGAACGTTGAATACACCTGAATCTGATTTCAGCTGTTGTTTAATTTCATGTGATCCTATTGTCCCATTAGTCAAATCATGTTGTTCCCTTTGAAATCACAAGTAAACATTCAAAACAGGTCATTATGCTTAGGTAAATGATAGCGACAAGGGGTGTAAATTTCTAATTTTACTTCGTTCTTTAACCAATTTACCCTGGGGTGTTTGGAGTGTTTGCAGCAATCCTGTCGAACGATGGTATAAATTGGTGTGTATAACCTCCATTTATAGTGGATATTCCCATCAACCTCAAATCAACCTCCGTTGATACGTCAACCTCCATGTTTTTCGGGGATGTTCCGAACAATGGCAATCCAGCTTTTTCCCAGTCGCAAACCAACGACTGGGGCAGGTCCCGTGATGAACGAGCTAGTGAACCATCCCGAGTGGATGCCCTTGCTGTTGGACGATCGGGGCGAGGCGCCGATCGAAAGATCACCATGGCGCCATGGGTTTTTGGCCCGCCAAAAATATGGCTACATATGGCTATATATGGTTAATTTATGATTATATATGGCTATAGAATTGATAAATGATGGTTGATAAATTGATATTGATGGTTGATTGTTGGTTGATGGTATTCTAGCTCCTGTTTTGGGATGATCAGAGTCCATAGAGTCCATGAACCGGGAATCCTCACGGTTAAACCGGTTCCAGGCGACGGGGTAGACTTGCCAACAGGTTCTTGATACATCTCATTTACTGAAGCGGAAGCTGGGGAAATTCACGGATGGATCATCCAAAACATGTTTGTTGTCCAAATGGTTTCAAAGATTCCTCAAAAAAGAACTTAAAGAAAGAGAGGCCTACAGCAGGTATTCAAGCTCCGCAGTGGTCAACAACGAAACCTCAAACCAACAATGCCACATGACAATGGGATGTTTTCTCAGAGTTTCTTCTGAAAAGACATTTGACATGCTGAGCAGTTAGCTTAGCTTCCTGGCTTGACTCCTGGAAACATCGGAATACGGGGTCCCGCAAGAGTTGGTAAGTAATACATATATATATATATACATGCATACAGATGTATGTAATTGTATGTATGTATATATATATGGTGCAGCGTTGGCCACCCCCCCTCCCCCCCCCACCAATGGGTATGGGTGGACAGTATCGTCTGGTTCTTCTGGTCCCCCCCCCTGTGGCCTGTGGTGGTGGTATGGTTCTTCTGGTCCCCCCCCCCTGTGGCCTGTGGTGGTGGTATGTTGGTATGTTGGTATGTTGGTATGTATGTTATGTATGTATGTATGTATGTATGTAGTTATGTTATGTATGTATGTAATGTTATGTATGTAATGTATGTATGTAATGTTATGTATGTATGTATGTGTATATGTATGTATATGTATATGTATGGATGTATGTATATGTATGTATGTATGTATATGTATGTATGTATGTAAGGTAAGGTAATGTAAGGTAAGGTAAGGTAATGTAAGGTAATGTAAGTAAGGTAAGGTAATGTAAGGTAAGGTAATGTAATGGTATGTATGTATGTATGTACGTAGGTATGTAGGTAGGTATGTATGTATGTATGTATGTATGGAATGTAAGGTAAGGTAATGTAAGGTAAGGTAAGGTAATGTAAGGTAAGGTAATGTAATGGTATGTATGTATCTATGTACGTAGGTATGTAGGTAGGTAGGTAGGTAGGTATGTAGGTATGTATGTATGTATATACACCACCACAGGGGCATCATACCCCCCCCCCCCATCCCATGGGGGGGGGGTGGGAACACGGGACACGGGACCATATATATGCATATATGCATATAATTGTATGTGCATATATATATTTATATATATATATGTAGATAGATAGATAGATAGATAGATAGATAGATAGGTAGATAGATAGATAGATGGATAGATAGACAGATAGGTAGATAGATAGGTAGGTAGATAGATATGTAGGTAGATAGATATGTAGATAGATAGGTAGGTAGATAGATATGTAGATAGATAGGTAGGTAGATAGATAGATAGGTAGATATATAGGTAGGTAGCTAATTAGGTAGGTAGATAGATATGTAGATAGATAGATAGATAGATGGATAGATAGATAGATAGACAGATAGACAGATAGACAGATAGACAGATAGGTAGATAGATAGATAGATAGATGGATAGATAGATAGATAGATAGACAGATAGACAGATAGACAGATAGACAGATAGGTAGATAGATAGGTAGGTAGATAGATATGTAGGTAGATAGATATGTAGATAGATAGGTAGGTAGATAGATATGTAGATAGATAGATATGTAGATAGATAGATAGATAGATAGATAGATAGATAGATAGATAGATAGATAGATAGGTAGGTAGGTAGATAGATAGGTAGATAGATAGGTAGATTTGATTGATTGATTGATAGATAGATAGATAGATAGGTAGGTAGATAGGTAGATAGGTAGATAGATAGGTAGATAGATACATATACATATATATATATATTTATGTTCCTTACCCATTGAGATTTTAGTGGCTGGGCCCCACGGATCTAAGTAGACACCCAAATTGATCGATTATTGAGCGGCCTCTGAACACTGCTCAGACGGTAACGATTCACCCTATCCAAACACCCAAGCATTATTTTTGCATCAGTGGTAAGAATACACATATACAGATATAAATATAATATATTTTGTATATACATATGATTATATAATTATTATATATACTTATTTTGTATACATATAATTTTAATATATATATATATACATATATGATATCTAATGATAGCAATAAGAGGATTCTATATAGATATCATGGTCGTGGTGATCGTGGCCCATCTTAGATCGCTAGGCCATGGCATTTCCAATGCCTGACCATCCAGCTCCAGCATCTCAGAGATCAAAAACGCTGAATCCGGTGGATCCGGAGAACGGTTTTTCCGGAGGTCGAAACCCTGGTAGAAATGTACCATTTAAACATATTTAAACCCTCTTGTTATAGTGTATGTATATACAATTATATATATATATGTATATTATACATGTATGGAATGACGAATCAGAATGACTTCACGTTGTGACGTCACTGGAACGTCACTAGAATGATAATTAGTATGGTGAATCATTGAGACAAATGTGTATAATTTACAGTAGCCATACATATATATGTATATATATGTATGTATATACATGTGTATATATATATTATACGGTATTGGGTTTCCATTGCCACGTTACCGGATGGTGGGTATTCTCATCCCTCAATGATCCCAGTGCTGGTGAAATCTTCATTTATGTGTATATATATATATATATATTATAAACCAGCAATTACTATATGTTTATATTTCGATACTCCTGGCCAAGGCTCCTAAGCTCAAGAGGCGTGTGCGCGGTGAGGAGCATGTAGGCGCGGTTATCACAGCAGCCTGCCGGGACTGGTGAATGGTTAAGGCGTCAGGTTTCTTTGGTTCAGTTGAACCAACCCAAAATTAACCAAAAAAACATGACTTTTGGATGGTTTGATATGATATTTTAAGTTTCAACCAAAAAAAACATAAAATTTTGATTGGTTTTGGATGATTTTAGGTGCTTTAAATTTCGTCATAAAGGACTGATGAATGTAAACATAGACTGTTCCCAGTTTTTTTAAGTCGATTTGGATGGGCAAATGACTGGTGACAAATTCGGTTGTTTTTATGGCTCAAAAAAGGGTATAGAAAATGTGCATTGTATGGGCAACAAAAATCATCATTGGATGTTTTGCTGTGTGAGTCATCCAAATTCTGAGTTTCACTAGTTAAATGCTGGCTTGTTTGGGGTGGGTCATTGATGGTTGAGATGGATAAAGTGAGCTAAGTGAGGATATGCCCCTTGGAAGTGACAATACGCCTCGAAATAAGCAAGATGGAGCCAGGTGCACAACTATTTGGAGCTCCGAAAAATCATTGGGATGTGGCAAGCAAAACCAACCTTTCATGGCTATGAACATCTGGAAATATAGCTGTGAATACATATTTATGTATACATATGCCTATATATGTATATATATATATATTGTATACATACTTCTATATTACCAAATTCATGGCTTGTAATTTATATTGCCCTCCATCTCTACTTGATAGGCTTGCTCGCCAGGATTTGCTCGCCCTGCTCGCACCTGTGTTGGGTTGAAATAGTGGATACACCTGTAGTATCCTGAAGTCAGATTCTCAGGGTGAACACAAGCATCAAGATCCTTTGGTAGTCAAACATGGTTTGCTGGAGAATTCACCAGCAATAGTTCGATGATTTTCCCATTGATTTCCCAGCCATCTTTGACTACGGAAGGGTAAACCAACAGCAACAGGTGGCCGTGGCTGGTGAACAGACTCCCAGTAGACACCTCGCAGCTTGGAGAGCAGGGCAATGATTTGGGGTCAAAATTAGGTGATTGGACCCCAGAAAAATGGAAATGGACGATTAGATGGTTTTTTAGAGCACAAAACACTATAAAAAACTTGTATTTGTAGAATTTTCTAGATTGATGTTAGACTTTTCAGGGGGGGTTCATAAGAACTGCCCATGAGATCCTGGCCACTGCCAATCGGTCAGGGCGAGACCTCCTTGACTCGGTTGGTCTGTGCAAACATAATGTGGATATCTTTGTTTTTTTCAATCCGAAAACGGGTTAGTAGATGGTAAACATCCCATAAGCCCATTGTTTTAATGTGTTTTTATAGTTACCAGATGTTACCAGATGTTACCAACTGGTGCAGATATATATAACTTTCATCCAGGGTTGGGAGGATGATTATCTCGGTGGCTCAACCACAGAAAACGCCAGCTGTAGCATCCCGTGGCATCACATATTAATACAAATGATATAGACATATGATCGATGTATATAGCTATATATGTATAATGACACATAATGTTATAACATGCTATAATTAATATATATATATATATGTATATGTAAGTCATCTTTCACTGATTCCAAACATCCCCACTCTTGATAGAATTCCCCCCAGAACGCTCAATTCTTCTTGACCCTGCCAAGGAGGAGTGGATGGATCGTTTTTTTGCAGCTCTTGCATACAGTTAGAGCACCTTGCGGGATTGATCCGTGCGGCTATGGGTCCACGATGACTCACTGGCTTGATGTTGAGATATTGGATCATCCCAGCTACTGTTTGCTACAGTTTGATATAAGCAAATTCGTAGGAATATGGAATCTCATGATAGTTCATAATATTGTTGTTCATGTACTTTTATGATGATATGTTATACCATGCCCCTCTAAGGGGTGATGAATGGATTAGGCGCCCGTTACAGAGTCCTATTCTGAAAGTTGCACAAATTTGCCATCCAGCGATCATGCCTTCAAATACCGCTATTCCTTGACTACTACGCAGTGGTGAACATTGTTATATAATGTTAACTGTTATGGTAAATACCAAATTTTCGGGCTCGCAAATGACGAAAACCACCCGACCCGTTGCGTTCAGAGGTGCCTAATGGTTGTAATATGTTGTAATCCAGGTCCAGCGCACAGACCCACTGGCAGGCTTCCACATGTTCGTTTTTTTGGTTTGAGCAAACTTATTTCACTTACCCTCTGGTAAACTGTTACATAACTTTGGAAAATCACTTTTTTTAATGAGTAAATCAACTATAAATGGCCATTTTCAATAGCTATGTTTGTTTACCAGAGGGTAACAAGTCGATGAGATCCCTGAATCCCTGATGTCCCATGAATATGCTTGATAGAAATGGGGAAATTGGGAATAGCGACGTCCCCGCACTCTCACCAAAGATGCTGCTTAGTGAGCTAGATCAGCCTGAAATTTGTGAACAGAACTGGATTTGTCACAGTTTGTCCACACATGATATATACAGTAATAAACATATATCATATATCGTGTATATATATAATTTGATGAAATCTGATGTTACAATTACAATAATTACAAGCTGTTGTACGTGTATTCAATTTTGCATGTAGTATTTTTTTGATACAGTATAATCATATTTGTTTATGTGTCTATGTTTGGAAAACACGGATATATGTTCAATAAAAATCTGCGGCGCGCTTCGTGCCATTTACTCAGAGACGCATGGACGATTTCTTGCGGGTGCCCATGTGCCGGAGCTGACTCTGAGGAGCTGAATGTGATGTAGTGAAGGACTATCTCCTTGCCTTGGGCTTAGGGCCTAACCGTTGGAAACCGGAAAATATGAGGCAAATATCATTCAAATGCATAATTATCATCCTGGATTGTTGTTGCCTTTTACGTCAACTTTGGATAGTTTAATACAACTTGATCTTACTAGTTACTAGTTACATCATATCCCCATATTTTGTTGGTTAAGTCTCCCACATACACTGTATATCCTTCTGGATGGTTTATCACGACCTCACTGTCACATCACTGGAATGATGGTTAGTAAGGGGGAACATCATCCCCAAATGGCCTTATATAAGGTTGAACCGGTCATTCCTCGCCGGGGCGTGGCCGGCCAAAGGGAAGATTCGTGGCCTTATTTCAGCTATTTTTCAGGTCAGTGAATTGTTAGAGTTCATCCAGATACACATGATATAAACTTATCAAAATCCATGATATTCCCATTGATCCGATGAAATCCCATTCACATTCATTCACCTATTTAAAACGTATGTCTTTTTGCCGGTGCTCAAAATGCCTACCTTCGCTGATCGCTCCTCAGCTGACAGCGGCAGCTGTCCCAGGATTTGTGCCAGGAAAATTCAGCTGTTTCAAGATGTGCTGTAAACAACGGTGATTTCATCCACAGATGGTGAGGTTAACCCACCAAAATGGTGATTTGACCCACACAAATGGTGATTTAACACACACCGATGTTGAATTTACCCATGCAAATGGTGATTTAAGCAATTTAACCCATACAAATGATGCAAATTGTGATTTAATAACAAAAATTGTGATTCAAGCAAAAGCAATGGTGATTTAAGCGGCACAAATGGTTATTTACCCATCAAGAATTGCAGTTTGACCATACTTAACCAAGAAAACAAGAGTTCATGGAGCGAAAAAATAGACTTAGCCCAGAAGCAGTTTGATTTAGGCATCGACATATGGATTTCACCTGCAGAGATTGGGAAACTAGCAGAAAAATTGGATGTAAACAGGTTGAACCACCTATTAAAAGGATTTATCCGCCAGCCAAACATGGCTGACCGGGAAGACTTCCACTGCTAGCTTAGATTTACTAGAGTGTAGGTTGATAGATTGATTTGTAGCTGTGGATGGAGGACATTTGGTGTGTGTGTGTGTTTGTATATATGTATATATGTATATACGTATATATATATATATATATATATATATATATACATGCTGAGTGTTCCCTCCCGCTGAAGTTTCACTGTTGTTGCACGGTATGTCATTATTTTTCAGGTTAGGAGTGTGTAGCTGAAGTGGTCAGATCTATTTTAGAGGAAAAGACTCCAGAAAATCCACCCACAAGACAGTCTGAGTGCATGGCACATTTCAAATATCTGGAGTACAAAGAGTGGGCGGCCACGATGGTGCCACAGCAGTACAAAGCAGTCGATATGGAACTTAGATTGATGTGTTTCATGGCATGAACCAAGCAAATTTGGGGCTATGGGGCCACGGATACCTAGTTCCTTGACCCATTTCCAGTTCTGACTAGTTCAAGACATGGGTGAAGAGAATGAAGCCCAGAGGACATAACCAGTCGAGGAAGCTAAGATGACTTCAGCATGTAAAACTGAATTTTCAGTTTGGTATTTCCCCACCTGCCAGGTGAGGGTTGTTAGATTTTATCAGAGCGCATGCCCGCCACTTCCTCTTCCTCCGCCTCCTCCTTCTCCTCCTCCTCCTCCTCGACTAGCTGTTCTCCTCGCCCTCCTCCTCGCCTCCGCCTCTTCCACCTCCACTTCCGCCTTGCCAACCTTGCCAACTCGTCGCCAAGCTCTTCGCCAACTTCCCAGCTCAGTGCGCACTGCTGGACGTCAACCTGCGAGCTGCCCAGCTCAGTGTGCACCGCTGGACCTCAACCTGCGAGCTGCCCAGCTCAGTGTGCACCGCTGGACCTCAAGCGGGGACCTGCCCGGCTCAGTGTGCACCGCTGGACCTCAACCTGAGACCTGCCCAGCTCAGTGTGCACCGCTGAACCTCAACCTGGGACCTTCCCAGCTCAGTGTGCACTGCTGGACCTCAACGGCCAGATAGAATGCCAGAAGATATGCCAGATAGAATGTCAGATAGAATGCCAGAAGATATGCCAGATAGAGTGCCAGAAGATATGCCAGATAGAATGCCAGAAGATGTGCCAGATAGAATGCCAGAAGATATGCCAGATAAACTGCCAGAAGATATGCCAGAAGATATGCCAGAAGGTATGCCAGATAGAATGTCAGATAGAATGCCAGTAGGTATGCCAGATAAAGCGCCAGAATGTTTGCCAGATAGAATGCCAGAAGATTTGCCAGATAGAATGCCAGATAGAATGTCAGAAGATATGCCAGAAGATATGCCAGATAGAGTGCCAGAAGATGTGCCAGAACAGATTGCAGAAGATATGCCAGATAGAATGCCAGAAGATATGCCAGATAGAATGCCAGAAGATATGCCAGATAAAATGCCAGAAGGTATGTCAGATAGAATGCCAGAAGATTTGCCAGTAACAAAATGTATAAATGTCATGGTGGGGATAACTCGAAGTAAAGTAATTCATATCCAGATTTGATTCTTTGAATGGATGTTGAAATTCATGTTTTGGGGCAATTACATGATGCAACGGCATATGTGTATATATTATACATTTTTCTCAGAAGATCTTACAGGCATACTGAATCATGTTCACTATGTGGACGCAGCAATTTCAATCTGCAGCAATTTCGACTCGTCCGCTCTCGTGGCCGCCTTCTCCAAGCAATCCGATGAATTCGATCTTTTGGGTGCCAGAGCCACGTGAGAGGAAGACATGAGCATCAAGAGTTAGCTAACAAATACCCTCTGGTAAACTAACATAACTATGGAAAATCACCGTTTTTAATGGGAAAACTCACTATAAATGGCCATTTTCAATAGCTATGTTTGTTTACCAGAGGGTATCGGAGTTCAATTTTCAACCAACCATAAAAGTAGGGATAAGTATAGGGCCGGCCATTGAAAGAATGCTGGTGTCATTGATTCTAAGCTGGGACAACCCTTCCCTCTGGTGCCAGTGGATTGTTCTGAAAATGGACTTAGAGGATTCACACCCCATTGAACACAATAGCTTAGTGGTGATAAATGCTACGCCAAACCCATAGATAGTCCTTCACTTCCCCCGAAGAGGAGCTAAATGAAACCAACGTTGAAATCCATGCTAGAAACTGAGGCTGACTTGCAGCGCTCACATGCACCCGTCAGGCTAGCACGTTTTCCCAGATGCGGCATGCGTGCTGCAGGCATCCTTGAGCAGTTTCCAGTCGTGGGTGTCTCTGGAGGTTTCAAAGCTAAATCTATTTGTAGGCAGGTGAAGGGTCCTAATACAGAATGAGAGCATGTCTGAATTTGATGTATGATATTAGACACATAGACATGTAATATTATAATGAAATATGCCGATATAGATATACATACACACATGCATACCTACATAATCCTACATATATATATATACATATACTGTTTTTTTTGTGCATGGTCGGGGTAAGAAACAATATTTTCGAAGCAAAATCGTCTTCTCAGTTTGTCTCAGCACTGACTTCTCTGTATCGGTTTATGGCTTCCAACACACGATGATCATGCTTGATCGTGACCAAAGACCATAGAAAACCACCACCTGTTTTGCGTCCCAATATGTATGATGAACACCTAGAAGCTTCCACACCAGGGCTGCTCAAGAAGAATGGCCGAATGGCTCAAGTTTGAGCTGAAGCATCTGAAGCTGTTGGGTTTACGCTGTTTACGCTGGTCGATTCCATGCGCAAGAGAACACTTCTGTTTTCCTGAGCAGATGAGTTTCTTCAAAGGAAGTGATAGCATGTGATAGCTAAACGGCTAAACGTTGGTTTGCTACGCATTTGGCTTGTTGTCCAAAAGAGGAAAATGCTGCAGAATATGGGTCTTGCAAATGGTTCCTGAATCTAAGCAATT